AACAGATTACCCGCCGGCGCCCCAGTGATTACCGGCGATCACCGACAGGGAAGGAAGGCTGCTTTGTTTACCAACAGTCCTCCTCCCTGTCGATTTGGACACACTGCTCTGGATGACTGAGCAGAGCCTCCGCTCCCTACTAAAACACTCCCATCATCACACATTTAACAGTTAGATTGCCCCTTATGTTAACCCCTTCTTGCCCAGTGCCATTAGTACAGTGTCAGTGGGGATGTCAGTGACACCAAGTCAGTTCCCCCCAGTGTCAGAATGCCTGCCGCTGTATGTCTCAGTATCTATACCGCCATTTTTAGACGCTATAACTTTCACGTAAACCAATTAATTTACACGTATTGTTTTTTTTTTTTTTTAAACAAAGACATGGAGCAGAATACATTTTGGCCTAAATCTATGACGAAATTTGATTTTTAAATTTTTGTACTAAACATGTTTAATAGCAAAAAGTTCAAAATATTGTATTTTTTTCTCAAAATTGTCAGTCTCTTGTTTTTTTATAGCGCTAAAAATAAAAAAAAGCACAGGCAATCAAATACCACCAAAAAAAAAAAAGCTCAATTTGTGTTAAAAAAAGGACATAAATTTAATTTGGGTGCAGCGTTGCATGACTGCACAATTGTCAGTTAAAGTAACGCAGCATCGTAACGCAAACCGCTTCCTTCTGCAGCACCCATACTTCCTCCATTCACTGCCCAACACGGAATTCAGGTGAAAACAGCAAATTTAACTACTTCCCTTGATTTTTTGGAGCTTTTTTTCATGGAAAATCTGTATGCATTGATTGTGGATCAAAGCAATTTATATGCACAACTTATCGCCTCCAACCCAAATTCAAACCTTGCCAGACCATTTGCATGGAAACCCAATACGGTTTCTGAATTTACATTTTTTTTGGGCCTAACCCTCAACATGGGCATTACTAAAAACCGGGGATGCTGTGAAAAAAAATTTGATAGGTGAAGGGTGTGTTTTCTAATGAGGTCAGTGCAGGATGCCTGTGCTAATGAGATCAGCTGGTAATCTGCTTCCGGGTTCCTACTGGCTCCTCTGTCTTGTGTCTACATTTCAGCAATTGAAAAAGCTTTCTAAGAAATTTACCAAGGGCTAAGGTAAGGCCTTGTTCTTCAGATCAAAGAGTGCTTATATATTTTTGCAACTGAGGTACATTAATGGTATATTGGTGCATAGGGGAGCTGTATTTTATGTACACTAAGAACAAAAGTGAACTTAACCTTCAGCTACATTCAGTTTTATATAGCACTTAGAGCCAATGCAGCACTTAGTGAAGGAAATAGTTTGTTTTGACCAGCTTGATCCAAATGAAGTATTTAAAGTGACAGGTACCTGGAGATCAGCTTTAGGCTAGGTTCCCACCATGCCGGTGATTGCCACTACAGGACCCAAACCTGTTCTCGCAGTTGCATCCACCCTCATAATGAAATATAGGAGATGCGGGTGGGTGTTATTAATCCTAAAGGCACATCGCCCACACTGGAATACAAACCTGCACTGGGAACTGCACTGTACATGCGTTTCCCTTGCAGACTGTGACTTCAAAGATGGTGCAGGGACCTTTTCCCTGCCTTGCAGGAAGCACGACAGCCCATTCAAGCAAAACAGCTGCCATACCTATGCAAACCACAGCTCGCAGAGCCGCACATATGTGAACCTAGGCCTAATGTCCACAGCCTATCCTTTTTAATAATTGGACTCCATTTCTTTCAAACATGGAGTCTTAGCATCATGTAGACATTATCACTGCTTCCTGTTTTGATAAGCAAGGTATATAAGGAAAATAGAATGGTTTATTTAAATAAATAATGTTGATTGGGATGTGGGTGGGTTAAGATGGGGGGTGTTGCAGGGAGGGCTAAAGTATAAGCAGATTAAGCTTCAGCTTTAACCTGAAGACAAGGTTCATGAACAGTCTGTGCCTAAAATTCAAGCAGACTTCAAGGGGATCAATATGAAGACTAACCCAAGTACTTGTAGGCATTAAAAGGAGCTTGCACTTTAGCTTTGTTACCTTAGAAACATTTTAGACAAGTTCAGACTCACTGAATGTCAGTCTGAGATGATTGTTTAAATTTAAACCTAATATGTACTGTATAGTTTATACAGTGTAGCCTTCACATTGGGAAATTAAGAACAGCTGGTACCTAGGTGCACAAAGACATTTAACTTTATTGTAAGACCTTCAAAGCCTTGTATAGTTTGTGTTTCATAAAGATTTTCAATATTCCTATACTTTAAACATCATAGAATTAGTACTTATATATTGTAGACTATGAATATAAGCCATATCAGTGTCACATTTTGGCATAACACAGTTCTATTATATTCAATGTCACCTTGCATTTCAGCATTTTATTAATTAATATTCTAAAAAGGAACAGCTAATCGCTGATGGGGAACAGATTTTGCAACCAGATTATTGCCGTATAAAACCTAATATTCTTTTCTCGTTTTACAATGCACAGCCCGTCCAAGACTTACCTTTTAACTTCTCCACTTTAAATGATTATCTCTAGTTTTAAGCCCATGGCAATATGGTGCTTGCTGCTGGTCGGCTACGCACTTAAATGGAAGGAAAAAAAGAAGTAATTGTGTTATAAGAAGTATCTTTCATGTAACGGTATGCCCACACGTTTCACAGTACACCTCACAAAATACAATGACATTTGGGAAATGAAAGCAAAAACTTCTGAGAATCTGTCAAGGTTGGAAATGCCAAAATGAACATTAATTTAACTCAGGTTAATAATAGGCGCAAAGTGGGGAAGTGAAGTTAGCTGCTGGAGGGAAGCCAGAAATGATAACTGAAAGAAGGGGATGGTAACAAGCATAAACACATAAGCTAAAGCAACCCCGTCAGTTGCTTTAAGATATCAAGCTGAAAGCCTCTTGAGTTAAGCCGGCCATACATTGGTCGAATTCCAAAAGAAATTTCATTCGAAAATCTTTTCTAAGAATTTTCATTTGAATTTTGCATCATTAGTGGGCCACAGCAATGGCGATTTGCAAGGGACCATCAAATTTGAGTGATCGGGAAATTGGAAATTTTTTTGAAAAATGAACAAATTTCTAATCAATGATGGGAGAATTCTGTGAGAAATGTAATTGAAAAATAAATAAGCATGAGCTGTGACCTGGAAATAAAAGAAAATTCTTGGCCACAAAAATTCTTTTCTTTAGCAACATGAGGTGAAATTAAAGGCTTAGTTGGTTGAATTTATAAATCAATGGTGGCACCATCGCATTACAAAACGCACTACATTTTTTAATTTTCTACAGAAAATTAATTTAGAATTGGACCTATGTATTGCCTGCATTACACTCACCTCTCCGGAGGCCCACGTCTCCTACTTACTTTCTGTTCCAGCTCTTCAGCCTCCATAATACTTTTCAAGCAGCTGCTACAACCAGCCGCTGTGAAGCTTATGCTAATCAACACATCAGTTTATGTATCTACAGCTATTTTATCCCAACGTTTGATTAGGGGGACAAGAAAACAGCGCTGTTTGAATTTACAGCATCACAAACTTGCATCTGAAGTTTAATATTATGGTGTGGTGAGTTAATCTTAGATTTACTATAGTTATTTACAACCCAGGAAAATCGCAAAAGCCTTTGTTATGTGCAGAAGCCGCCTTCCCAGTGTCCAAACACCTAACACCCAGTCTCCACCTTTTAGAGTGTTAAGGAAAACTACAGGGAATACAGAGCCACCCACCCACTTTCTTAGGCATCCTTAAGGTCACTTAGGGATTTGAAGGTAGGAGACACAGGCCATCAGAAAGGTGAGCAAAGGAGCTCTTCTTTTGCAGGAGTGATAAGTATTAATGGTATGTAAAGTAATCGGTTGTAAAATAATGAAACTGAGACTTTGAAACCCTAGGTGGACTTGTATGTGGCTTTTTTCGCAACCATGGGCTCGATTGATACCTATACAGGCAGTATGTGCCTTTATTACAAACTAGAGTAGCTTAGTAGCAGATCAAGAGTGAAAACATCTCACACGCAGTTAATGCACCATGCAACTAGGGAGGTTGAGAACACAGTGTAGTCTGCGTACATTAATTAGGAAAGTACTCTTTATTTGCCAAGTAAACGGTTGTCCTTTTTCATATGTAATATTTCTGCATTAAATGTTGTGGTATCAAAACATTTTAAGAAAAAAAAAATACCTTGGGATAGTAAATCGTTACATGGCCTTGATAACCAAGTTTCAGGACCTTCTGTAGTAATCAGCCAGTCACTCTGGAAGTTTAAAGAGTGACATAGCTGTTATAGATCCTACTGATTTTCTTTGGCTGCTCAGCTGGAGAACTTTTATAGTCCGTTTTAAATATGTAGAATTATGCATCTTAATATACTGTATGCTGCAAACTCATAGACTTAGAATGTGTGTGAAATACAGTATATTAACACAGCCTTTTTCAGCCAGGGTGCCTTGAGGTTTTTTCAGGGGTGCCTTGCAAAATGCCCACAAGTTGACCAAAAATTGTATACAAACCAGCAGGTGGATCAAGCCTGCCTTTTAGTTACACAAAGCCACAGGTTTTCATTATGCACCATTACGATCTTTTAGCCACCAGCATCCCAACAACCAATGACATTGTCAGTTGATAAGAAGGGTGTCGGTCATCTGCACAGCATCCTTTTTTGCCCCTCTCAATTAGTGCTGGGATCACATTAGCTAAGTGAGGGAGAAGAGAAACAATTGTATACTAGTCCATACCAGTGTGCAAAAGTGTATTTGATTTAGAAGAGTAAATCACCTCCAATGTTGGGTGTCCTATGTATGTGGATGTTGATGCATTATATAAAACTATTAGAATAGTTTTTTACATTTTAGAATGGGGTGCCTTGAAGCTGTCCATAATTTTAAAGTGTGCCTTGAGTGAAAAAAGTTTGAGAAACACTGTATTAACATATAAGACTTACTTTTTCCCCCTAAAATGTTCTTTTCCCCCTAACAGCTGGGAGGTTCTTAGGTTCCTTCTGTCTAACCTTCGGTGGTGGATTGAAGTATATGGTTTTGATGGTTTCAGATTTGATGGTGTTACTTCTATGCTTTACCACCACCATGGAATTGGTAAGTATATTGTTTCAAAAGTAATTTTCTTTTGATTAATCTTCTGTAGCAGTCATTTGTTTCTACTATGGTTAACTGTGAAATACCATTGAAACCTATTTGCTTTTTTTTTTTAAATGAATTGAAGTATCTGCAGGTAGGTATTTTTTGCACAACTACACTTAAATCAGAAGTAAACTCTACAACTCTGAGCACCACAAACTGAAAATGATCTTTGAATAATTTTTAATATTTAGAGAAAACTCACCCATCCATGTCTCCATACTTTATTTTGTTGAGAAATCACTTTGTAAAATTTCCCCCGTAGATTTTCTAGTTGCAGCCATCTTGAGTCAGGGCAGATGAGTCATGTATCATTTACTTCCTGGAATCCATTTGCTCTTAGCGTTAGTATGCAGGCAGGAGGGTTTGCTTAGCTGAGAAAGCCCTTCATCCCCTCCTCCAGATGTAAGAAAAAATGCCAATGAAGACTCACAGGATGTATGGCATCATTTTGGCTTAGGCCAGAAACCAGGACTTAACTGAAGAAATTAAAAAAAAAAGGTTTTAAGCAAGTAAATATAACATACTTTCCTATCTATTTACTAATGCTAACAGCATAAGGATTAAAATAGTTGATGTTGATTGAGAGATTTAGTTCCCATTTAAAGGTCGAGCAGCACAGTGGCTAAATGGTTAGCACTTCCGCCTGGCAGCACTAGGGTCGTCGGTTCGAATCCCAGCCACGGCACCACCTGCCTGGAGTTTGCATGTTCTCCCTGTGCCTGCGTGAGTTTCCTCCGGGTACTCCGGTTTCCTCCCACACTCCAAAGACATGCTGGTAGGTTAATTGGCTCCTGTCTAAATTTGGCCCTAGTATGTGTATGTATGAATGTAAGTTAGGGACCTTAGACTGTACGCCCCTTGAGGGTTAGGGACTGATGTGAATGTACTATGTGTGTGTGTTTGTAAAGTGCTGCGTAAATGGACAGCGCTATATAAGTACATGAAATAAATAATAACTAAAAGGTACACTACAGTCAAGTTTGACAATGTTATTTTGCATTAATACTGACTTAGATGACACAGTGGTAGGACTTTCTGGGCTGAAGTGTTCATCCTTCATATCTGTGGCTGGCTGCTGCACTTGCTGAAATCGTGTAGTTGCCAGTTTTTCTTCCAAATTGCCCTGTATTAAACTATTCTAAGAAGTCTGCTGAAAAGGCAGTGATATTTATAAAATTGTTATAATATGTAAACCCTAACAGTGAATTCTTGTTTGGTCCTTTTTTAGACTTTTAAATATAATATTGTTTTTATCTATTTCTTAAGTAAAGATCTAAGAAATAGTTAAGAAATCTTGTAAGCTGACAACCTTCTGTGTTCTCTTCAAATTCTGTTGTCCTTGAAGAAGGGATCTGGAGGTGTTCTGTAGTCCTGGGTCACAATACTGCTCCTCCAAACATATGTTACAGTGAGTGAGCCTTGTCACCCTAAAACAGGAAGTATGCTTCTTTTAGGATTGCCGGTGAAAAAAAAGGCTTGGAATAAAAAAACTAATGCTGCTACCACATCTAAGGTCTGATAAGCTGCAATATATTAAATGTTTTTGTTCTTGGGTTTAGATAGGCTTTTAGCTAAAATAAATAGAATGGACTTTCTGACTTTAGTATAATTTCACAGTAACCTGGATCAGATTAGCAGTTACTGAGTTTGTCTGGAGTTAGGCCCTGTTCATGCCTATGCTTTATCATTGATGTGCTCTCTTGCAAACGCACATTATTTAAAGTTCAATTGTAATGCACCTAAAATGCAGCACATTTGTAAACAGCCCTAAATCTTTAATACTTTTTAGTGCAGCATCTAAATTTGCCTACCAAGGGGACAATAGAAACTGTTGTATTTAAGTCAGTCTGTGCCCAGACTATGCCCATTAAGCGCTTTAAAACCAGTCAACACATATGTGGGGCGGATAGGGTGGGCTTTAGGGTCCACACGCCACATGTGTTGCTGGGCAGTCAAAGTTTATGTGCTAAGAGCAGCTCTTGGGCCAGACTAAAGATCGGTAGTCGGCATAGTCCATAGACACAGACAGCGCAGCTCTGCCCCGTCCTCTGCTCCCTCGTCACAGGATTTGATAGCCAATGGTTCCCACTGCTGCCTTTTTTGTCATGTGGGGAGGGAGAGAGTCTCCGCAGTTAGGCACAGCGCTGGATTGAGATCGGTCTCCGGTATTAGGGGAGCTGTACACAAAGGGGTTTTTTTTTACACTAATGCAGAAAATGCATTAAGGCAGAAAAAAAACTTTTTTAGGAACACTTCAAATGTTATAACTGCACATAATGTTAAGGATGAACATTGATGATAAAAATACTATTTCTATTCTAGGAAGTGGATTCTCAGGTGACTATAATGAATATTTTGGTTTGCATGTGAATGAAGACTCTCTTGCTTACCTCATGCTGGCAAATCACATGGTTCATTCCCAATTCCCAGATTGCATCACAATAGCCGAGGTAGGTTAAGGACTTTTCTTGACAATATAATGCAGTTTAATAGCTACATCTGAATAACAGCACGTAACCAGAAGATAGATTTCAATTCTTCTTCAGAAACTTGACATTTTTACGTTGTCTAACATGTAATTAAATTGAGTATGAAGACTGAATGCAGCATTCAAGACCTTGATGTATTAAGCTTGGTGCGGTTGGGACATTATATAGCTAATTAAATTTTAATTAAAAAGGGACAACCTTCTATAATGTGCTGGAATAATAAGCTAATATAGAGATAAAGTAAAAAAAATCCTCTGTTATTTAGAGTGAGGTAAGTGAATAAGAATTCTTCAGTATTTTCTTTCCAAATCAGTTAAATCTATTTTGAATAGCCGTGTTCCAGATAAATTTAAAAACATTATGGGTTTGTTCTCTATATTCAGCATTGGTATTTCTTTAAAGCTGAACTTAGGCAAATGGCTAAATACACAGATATTTGGCTGTGTACCTTCTAAAGAATTTTATATGTATTGTCCTTACCCTTTCCTCCTGTCTGCATGTTCCTTGATAGCAAAGGAGCACTGTAGCATATCTGAGTGGTTTCGTATCCTACTTCTCCATTTTCCAGTTCTGCTGTAAAGGGATTACAAGAGGTCAGATTCAGGTGCTTACTCCGTTTGCAATAAAAATACATTTAAAGGTCAAGTTCACCTTTTGAAAAATAAATAAATAAATGCTCATTTATTTATTTTTTTTTGCTGGTAAAAAAAAAAGTGCATTTATTTATTTATTTTGCTTAGGAGCCCACAGAGCTTTGCATCCATGTTCAGTAGATCAGGGGTACAATGTCCGACTCCTGCACACACTGCCCAGAACCTTCTGCCCATAGCTCTGTACAGGCAGACAGTTCCTGAGCTGTAATGTGAATGAACTGTGAGCGTGCTGATTAGTGTGCCCGTAATTCATTCAAATTACAAGTCCGAATGCCATGGTGGCAGACAGGCTTATAGTTTTTTCATTCATAGATTCCAATGAATGAATGATGTGGCCGTGTGGGGCAAAGACTCACAATTTTCAAAATGTGATAGCGGCCGTTTGGAGAAGGGTGTAACATGTTACTAAAGGTTAGCCTTTAATGAGGCCTTCATGAATATAAAAACTGCTTTAATTTGTGTCACTTTTTGTCTGCCTGAAGTTCAGTTATTAATTTAACTTTTAGATTGCATTTTTTGTAGTCTGGTGTATACATTTAAAAACTCTTCCTATAGTCCCTCTTTATATATCAGACTGTTTAGTTACTGACGAGGTAACAAGACATATCAACTAAAGTAGGGGTGCTCAACTGGTAGGCTGCAAAGCCCCCTGGTGTGGCCCTCATGCTCTGGGATGGTGGGTCAGCAAGCCCAGGTCGTGGGTTGCTCACTTGGCATCCCAGAGCAGCAGAGTGGATGGAGCCGGCGTTGGGGGGAAAGCAAGCATCTGTGGAGGGAGCAGGAGCCACATAAGCCGATGATTCCTCTGTAGCGCCAGCTCCTGTCTCAGGCGAAGTGCATTTGGTATCACTCCGCCTTTAACAGGAGGCTTTCTAAGAGCTTATCGATGCCAGCAGAAGCTGAAAGACAAAAATGTTAGTTTCTTAAACATGACATCATTTTGCAATGGATATATTATCACTTTTAAAAAAATATTTATTAGGCTGCTTTCACACTGGTCTGCAGGTACAGTTTAGCTGCACTGAATCATAGACCTGTATTATATCCTGCTGGTTTGGTGTGCATTCTGAATGCGCTCCAAAACTTTGAAATGCAGGAGTTTTGGTGTTCTTTCAGAAATTGTACCACACCCTCAAGATATAATAGAAGTCTATGACAAAGCACAGATAACCCTCAGGAAAGCTGCAGGTGCACTGCGCTGCACCCCCGGTGCTGCTAAACTACAGAGCATCAGTGTGAAAGCAGTCTTACAGGGGGCTCAGGATAGTAAAAGCTTGCTTATATTTGCTGTTTGGGGGGCAGTAAAACCCCATAGTTGAAAAGTGTTTTTGCCACACGCCCCCCAATCACTAGTGTAGCGACCCTGCCCCATGCTCCAGGGGGCCCGTGTGGCCTTCCTGTCACATTCTGTTTTACACTTCGACAGGCGGTGTATACAGGAACTGATCATCTCCATTTCCCTTCTGCAGCCACTGAAAGCTTGCTTTCCTCTTCTTCCTCCCGACTGCATTCAGTAACTGCCAAAAGAAATGTTCATTATGATAATGGATTGATCTGCACTGAGAAAGAAAAGTAGTAAAGAACTGTGCAGCAAAACAAGCCATGAAGTATAATAAACCCAGCCTAAGCAAACATGACTGCTTCATGTGCATTTATCATTAACTATGACTATTGAACTATAATCAAAGATGCTTTTCAAACATTAGTACACATTTGTGAGATACTGCATATGCACCAAGCTTATCACATTAAAAAAAATTCAATGGCAATGCATTCCCTTTAAATCTGTCCTGATGTGATGGCATAGTGCCATGTTAACTGTCCCATTTTTTTGTGTTCCCTTTGCGTTTCAAAAGCTTGATTAGTAGGTAAATAAAGTGAATTGATTTTATGTTACTGTTATTTAGGCAGATAAATACACAATAAAGGCATTTTCCATATTGTCAGTGTCCTTGATAAATAGTTGTCTCAGAAAGACAAAAAGCACAGATCTGGACACATTTTTTTGGATTGTACACTAACAACCGTAAAATTTTAACTTTATCATGCTGGGTAAGATACTATGTAATGTCTGAAATCAATGGTCATTGAAATAACCTTGTTGCTTATTGCTCAAGCATTGCGGAAGAGAGAAAAAAAAATTTGGAAAGCGTTTTGATGTTCTTGCTGTGCAAGCAGGCAATATTAATTTTCCTAAAAGTAGTCTTTTGGGGGAAATTATCTATCAGGATATGCTGGCTGTTGAATTCATATGCCAAGCTGAAAACAGGATGCAATCAAAGAATTGATGAGTAATGACTGTATTATGGGATTATTGCAAAGCACATAGAACGGAATAAGTTGCTTTGAATGTTCTTGTTAAAGTGTAGGAAACATGTTCTATTTAACAAAAAAAAAAATATAAGCACATCGAAGGTGCCTTTGTTCAGATTTTTTTTTTTTAAGAGGAACACAATTATTCATGTAATGAAAATGTATAAATATTAAAATATATATTGAAAAATATGTACTTTTTTAATGTTTTGCCCTGTAAGCCTAAACCACTGTTGTACCTTTTTGATCTCCTGGAACACCATCTCACCTTAAAGAAAAAAAAAAAAATGGAAACTTTGTAGGTTAGCTAAGATTTGTCACACAGGCTTATACTCAGCTCAAGTTGCCATAGCAGGTACAAGTAAACTATATCAAACTGTCAGTTGTATCCCTGAATAGGGCCTATATGTCTGCTCCCCCACCCTGCACTAGATCCTCTGTATAGTGTTACTAAAGGTAATTTAAAAAAAAAAAATTAAAATAACAAACATGTTGTACTCACCTGCTCTGTGCAATGGTATTGCACAAAACAGCCCGGACCTCCTCTTCTAGGGTCCCCTCTGGCAGTTTTGGCTCCTCTTCTTCCTGTGGCTTTAGAACCACTTTAAAATAGTGATTTGCAATAGAACCCAGTATAATGGAGGTCATACCTAGCTAGTAATGAATGGGCCACCCAATGCACAATTCTGTAGACTGGGGTTGGGGTTGTAAGCTGCAGTTTGGGCAATTTGGAAATAGAATAACACTGGGTTGTGGTTACTTCTTAAAGTGGAGCTCCAGTCTCCTGTAAAAAAAAAAAAATAAAAGTCAGCAGCTACAAAAACTGTAGCTGCTGACTTTTAAAAAACAGCCACTCACCTATCCCTCAAGCCATCGGTGTCCTCACCCCAGTTGGGCTTACCGTCTGTCCTCTGTTCCCAGCCCTAGCATGGGAAGTGGGAGCGGGTACCTGTCAGAATTGGGTAACCACTTCTCCAAGGTGCTAATGCTTAAGCAGAGGACGAGTCATTAAAGTGGAATTTCCTCTTTTGGGTGGAGCTCTGCTTTAATCATGTAGTGTCATTTTAAAAATCAACTGTGGAGAGAGCATGCAATTTCAAAAAAGACTATATAGTATCTTCCAGTGTGGATTTCTTTACAAAATGTCCCTTTGCTCCATAGTACTTACTGGAGCTTTCAGAGTGCATGATGTAATCATCTCCTTTGGAGACAACTGAGCATTTCCTTTCATGCATCTTGTCTTCCCTCTGAGTGTGTATTTGTTGAAGACAGATATTGCTTAACATGATGTGTTGGAAACCACCAAAGAGCACCCAATAATATGTAATGATCTGCTTGTCGGCAATCTGAGCTCCCTCTCCCTTGGTGTGCCAGTTAGTCTTATTGGTGTTTCAGAAGTGTAGAGAAAGGGAAGGGTGGTTACCGGTATACCCAACAGTTCTATGCTACAAGACATTTGGGGCTATTTACACTCCTTTGCTTTAGGTGTACTTTTTTGCATCTTACATGGCATGCAGGCTATAATACCATTATTTTCGGTTATATAGTTCACACAAATGTGTTTTCATGCAGTGTAATTACATAGGGTTGAACTTATGGGGAGTTTCATGCAAGAAATAGGAAGTCCTCCTGTCCCTTCCTGTTAAAAAAACAAACATTAATATGTGTTAATGCAAAAATGCAGCACTTGATTTTGTCAAAACAAATCATGAAAATCCATGATTAAGCAGAAAACACAAACATAATTTAGGCGGATCTATACATTACTAAACTCCCCTGCATATCCCTAGAAAAATATTTACGCTCTTTTTAAATTTTTTCACATACTGCAATTAGAATGTCAGAAAGTATAAGTCGATAATTGTTGCTGATGATGCATTTGTTTTTTTTTTTCATTTCCTAGCCTGCCTTTTGCTATTTTCAATAAATAAAATATATGTGCCATAATGCAGCTATTTGTGTTTTTGTTCAGGATGTATCTGGGATGCCAGCACTTTGCTGCCCTACATCCCAGGGAGGTTGTGGATTTGACTATCGACTAGCAATGGCAGTGCCTGATAAATGGATCCAGGTAAACTCTTTACATTGCGTTTTATGGAATTGTATATCAAAGCTAAGAAATTTATTGTACAGTATATGTAGTAACTGTGCTCACTTTTTTAATGCAGATTATAAAAGAGCTGAAAGATGAGGAATGGGATATGGGAAATATAGTATATACACTTATTAACAGAAGATACAATGAAAAGTGCATAGCCTATGCAGAAAGCCATGACCAAGTAATGTATACTTTTACAATTTAAAATAAAAAAATATCCTTTATATTTGACATTATAGGTATGGGATTGATATATGTTGTGTTAATCGGTAAATGCAGTACTCCTTCAAATGCATTTTCCTGCATTTGAGCCTGGTTTGGATGCTTCGGTGCTGATTCACAGATACATTTGCAGTTCAGTGATTTAACTGGCTTCAGTCTGCTTTTACTTTCCTGTTGATTAGTATGGAGACAGAAAAGCAGTTCTGAAGTGAGCAAAAGCATGCGTAAGCAGGCCTTTAGGTAGACACATGCACCTGTTTCTGTGCGGAACAATTTATGCAGCTATTCTATGTAAAGAAAAGATCTGTATGCTTACCGATTATGAAGCCGCTCTAATCTGTTCCCATGATCAGCTGACAGCGGCGGCTTCTGTGTAGAGGTGGGACAGCTGACAACGGATGCCCTATAGTAAGTCTATGGGTGACATCATCTCCCAGGTATTTCCAGCCATTGTCGGAAATCCCTCCTGTACACAGAAGCAGCCGCTGGAGACTGGGCCTGGAGTATCTTCAGAATAGGTAAGTAAAAGAATCTTTTCTTTACAGGGTTAGATAGAATAGCCTTAGAATGGGGTGGGACTAGTTTAAGCCTTAGTTAGGTTTTGCCTGAACTTCCACTGTACGATACTTATTAATGTACCAGTCATTACTGCTTAGTACAGAGATTGCATTGACTGTTGAGAAAAGTCTGTGGCTATCTTCAGTATACCCAGTAAGGTTCTCATGTCTAGCCTGAATTAAATTGCAAGCAAATTGTTTGAGCCAAAATCAATACAACCCTCTTCCCTAGCCCCCACAGTACAACTAGGTAGTGTACATCCTGGCCCCTCACAGGTCCATGCTATCTCCTTTGACAGCTGGCTGCAGCCCAGCCAATAGAAGCTGCCCACTCCTATGTACTAACATCTCATAGACTTGAATGGGATGCTGCTCCATTCAACTCTATTGGACGTAAGTGCCCAGGTGTTGGCTGTAGTGTGGGAGGTGTCGATGGTCATAGAAGGTAGGTGTGCTTTTGCTGGGATTGGGGGTATCTAATTGTACTAAGAGGACTGAAAGGATTTGTCCAAAACATTTGTTTGTACTTTAGGTTTGTTGGATGAGACCTTCTTGTATAAGATTCCTCCTGAATTGTATGTCTATGTCCCTGTTCTAATAGCTGTGACCTAAGTCGCAGTGACCTTAACAAAGGTTCCATCACTACTTTTGTGCGACTTGCATTGAGCTGTATGATTGAAGTCGCCTGATGTGGCAGCAAGTTGCACTGTATAGTTTATGTTAAAGTCACGCTGGTGTGAGCCAAGAAATGAGGAGCCCATTCGGTGCCGTTCCTAACCAATAAGCATGTTACAGTATTTCACACTTACTATTCATTATTAAAGAAACTTCTATTTAGCTAAATATATATGATGCTGTTGCTCCCCTTGCCTGTGAAAAGACAGTTACGTAATTCTCATGCCAGTAAAGTGATTTTAAAGTATTTCTCCAAACACAGTATTTTTCCTTGGAAGGGTTAAAAGCCCTGTCTGGTTTTCACTGCTCCCCAGGGCTCGGTTAGTAAGATTTCCCCTCACTTCTTTTCCTTATGATAGTGGTTTCATCCAACAGGGTATAAGGGTATTTCTCTAACAGCAACACACAGCTTTTTATTTCTCTCTTTGTCCCTCTTTCAGATTTTCCCTCAATTTCTGTTTGGTAAAATGTTGTCACAAGTAATTATAGAGATTATCTTTAACAAAGCCCCAAGTAGTAAGAATTAATCAGGGGTTTCTAATCCTTCCCTATTCTAACTTCTTTGGTTGCTGCATACTTGTTTTGAGTCCATAATTTGAAAAGTGCTGAATCTAGATAGTCAGCCAACTATAGAATTTGTTGTAGGAGGGCTGCTATTTCATACCAGGTTTCTTTCCTCTTCTATGTAACATAAGAGGAGGAAGTGCTTGAGTCATTTTGCTTCTTTATTTCTGACTTCAGAGACAAATAGGCAGTTGATAAGCAGAGTGGCCATACCCCATGCTTGTCTAAAGCAATCTAATTTTTTCCATTTCTTCAATCAAATGTTCTCGTTGTACAAATTCCTTATGTGGGATGGTCAATTCTAAAGTAGTTGTACATTTTAGTTTCTAATCATATCAATATTTAACCTGTCATTGGTTACATTGCAGATGCATAGCTCATTCAATATAGTTTCTGTATTAAATGCATTACCACCCTGTCTGGATGTCTCAGGCTACTGTCCAAGTATTAATATTGAATATTGTTGTTCTTCTGTCTCCTAGATTTTTTTTGGTGCTGCACTAATTACAGGAGCCTGTGGCTTTGAGTCAATGACAACGTGCATATTATAGAGCTAAAGCTTTTATAATTATAAAACTGCATAATGAGCCATTTTAGCTTCATACATCCCACCCCTACTGAATACAAAATAACTGATAAAAAGTTATGTGTGATTGTATATTAGATTTGTACATCACATTCATATTTAAAAAGAACATGGGATAAATACTCAGTGGTATTGAACCCAAATATTTATTATATTTCAGCTTAGATGTGATGGCTGCATTCTTTTTTTAGGCTTTATTTCCACCTGGTGATCCTGCCAGTAAGTTTGTATTTTTGTTTTTTTTTTTTTCCCTGCAAATGTATCAGTGTTGAGACAAACCAATTAACACTTGCAGGGATGCTTACAATGATCAGATTTTATTCATGTAAAACCTTTATCCCAAAAACCTTTGACCATTCCTGGTCAGGACAAAGTAATGGTAGATGAACATATGTATATAAAGAAAAAAGTAGGTGTCATTATAACTACAGCAGCATGATGGATGAAAGCAATTACAGCTAAATGTCAACTATATTATAGGTAAGCTTCTGCTTCCTTACATGTGATTTTGTACTTGTGTCATTTTGAATTGTACAGGGGGTGCTGGGACCCTGCATCCTTTGCCATGAAAGTACCTGATTGATAAAGCCTTTTGAAACAGTGACATTTTTGATTATATACACCCGTTGGTTGCATTCATTACTGCCTAAAACTTGCTGTGGATTCCAGTGTTCTAATTCGGCAAAAAACCATAAACAGACCTTCGATGATCTTTGGTCCTATAAGAATAGTCTGCCTGTGTATCTGTATGGTAGAGTAACGGTACATTAAACATTTGCATTTAACCTTTGTTGTAGAGAGTAATTTAAAACTGTTCATTGTTTTTCTGACTAGGCACTGGTTGGTGATAAAACACTGGCATTTTGGTTGATGGATGCAGAAATGTACACCAATATGAGTGTCATGTCTCCTTTAACACCTGTGATCGATCGAGGAATTCAACTCCATAAGATGATCCGTCTGATCACCCATGCTCTTGGAGGAGAGGGATATCTCAATTTCATTGGTAAGTGCAATTAGAACAGAATCTGTTTTGAATATACCACTGCTTGCCTAAGAGCATGACAGAGACGGGAATGTCTGTATACGCCAGGGCTTGAAAAAAGCCACTCGCCAAATGCAAGGAGAAATTCCTTTGTGGCGAGCGGCTGCGAGTGGTGAGCACAGATGAAGCTTGGAGCGACTGCACCTGCGCTCCAAGCCTCATTGTGAAGCCGAGTTCCGGTTTCCGGCTTCTGCGGCACCGCCGCCAAGGGGACAAGTTCAGGAGACGTCCGCTCTTCTCCGCTGAGAGGAGACACCCTCTCCACCGCCGCGGGGGGACTCGGGGGGACAGTAAGTACTGTATACAACATGTCCTATCACTATAATGGAGTACAGGGGAGCTGGGATATACATTACTGAGTAATGTATATCCCAGCTCCCCTGTACTCCATTATATGACATGTATATGACATGTATATAGTATGTATATCCCAGCTCCCCTGTACTCCATTATATAGTGATATGACTCCATGTATACAGTAATGTATATCCCAGCTCCCCTGTACTCCATTATAGTGATATGACGTGTATACAGTAATGTATATCCCAGCTCCTCTGTACTCCATTATAGTGATCCAGGACATCTATACAGTAATGTATATCCCAGCTCCCCTGTACTCCATTATAGTGATATGACATGTATACACATGTATACAGTAATGTATATCCCAGCTCCCCTGTACTCCATTATAGTGTATATCCCAGCTCCCCTGTACTCCATTATAGTGATATGACATGTATACAGTAATGTATATCCCAGCTCCCCTGTACTCCATTATAGTGATAGGACATCTATACAGTAATGTATATCCCAGCTCCCCTGTACTCCATTATAGTGATATGACATGTATACAGTAATGTATATCCCAGCTCCCCTGTACTCCATTATAGTGATAGGACATCTATACACATGTATATCCCAGCTCCCCTGTACTCCATTATAGTGATATGACATGTATACAGTATGTATATCCCAGCTCCCCTGTACTCCATTATAGTGATATGACATGTATACAGTAATGTATATCCCAGCTCCCCTGTACTCCATTATAGTGATATGACATGTATACAGTAATGTATATCCCCCCTCCCCTGTACTCCATTATAGTGATATGACATGTAGACAGTAATGTATATCCCCCCTCCCCTGTACTCCATTATAGTGATATGACATGTATACAGTAATGTATATCCCAGCTCCCCTGTACTCCATTATAGTGATGACATGTATACAGTAATGATTACTGCATACATGTCATATCACTATAATGGAGTACAGGGGAGCTGGGATATACATAATTGTGTACAGTTTTATATTTCGGACTATTTATTCTAAAGAAAAATTTAATTTCATAAGCTTTAAGGGGGCATGGTTGGGGGCGGGCCGGGGGTGGGGTTGGGGGCAGGCCTGGGCAAGGTTGGGTGGGGCAACTGGTGGCAAGTAAGTTTTGTGACCGGCTAGTAGGTCTGGACTCAAAATTTTAACCCCTGGTATACACCATAGCTTCTCTGCCATTCCTTCTGTTCATTGCAAAAAAAAGGACTTGCATCCTGTGGACCTCCAGTACAGGGTATCTAGTGCAGCAGTGAATAAAACCTATAACAGTCATGGGCAGTGTTGACGTGAAAGGTCCCTCACTCCATATGTTACTTGCATGTGATCACCCAATTAAACAGTCATAATCTTATCTACAACTAAGCCCTAATGGGTAAAAACACATTAGAGGGGGACTTTCCTAGGACGGGGGTCTTTCCGTTCAATGCCTGTGGATGTTCCATGCAATAAATGTTGATATCAGTGATCCTAATGGTGTGCGGCGGCTTCCTCTTTTTTGCATCTAGTCATAATATTAAGTTTGCATATAAGCATATACTGCTTTTCCATTTACAGGTGTACCTCGGTTTACAAATTTAATGCGTTCTCCGGGACGATTTGTATTGCGAAAAATTTGTAAACCGAAACGTGGTTTCCCATAGGAATGCATTAAAAACCAATTAATCCGAGGTGAGAAAAAAGTTAAATAAAAGTCGCTGTCACTATAGGTCAATGCTGGTTTGTAAATGCAATTACTGGATTTTTTTTTCTTCACTATAGCTCAGAGAATCAGCTGTCACTTTCCCCCCAGCTAAACGAAAGAAAGTTTCCTTTTCATTTATTTCTCCAAGTTAAAAGAAACAATGTTTCCTTTTAGTTTGTTTCCAGACATAAAAGAAACAAAGTATCCTTTAGCTCGTGGAAAGTGACAGCTAATTCTGTGAGCTATAATGAAGAAAAAAAAAAATCCGGCAAATGCATTTAAAAATCGGCACCAACATACACTTCGTATTGTGAAAAAAATTTGTAAACTGAGGCATTATTTTCAATGGATTTTCATTCATAAACCAAAAATTACGTTAACCGAAGCGTTCCTAAACCGAGGTATACCTGTATATCCATTGAAAGATAAGAGATTTTCTTTACATTTTAAAATCTGAACTCTGGACACAAGAAAAAAAAAAATCCTCAATAGCCACTAAGGATATACATCCATTCTGTGTACACCAGATTTTCAGGCCCTATTACACCCCAGTCACACCAAATCCGACTTTGAAATCGTATGACTTCACTGTAAGTCGCAGGATTTTAAAGTCAGATGACATGCCAATTTCAGCTGCGATGTGCAAGACATTTATTGCACTTCTATGCAAACCTCACCAAAAGCAGTGCATGTACTACTTTAGAAATCAGTGTGGCTCCGACCAAGTCGGAACTGCACCAATATGACCGCTGTCATTGCGAACACTAGGGTATGCAGCTTGCAAGTTGCATGGCATGCAAATCGCATGCCAATTCGCATCCAGTGTGACCAGGGACTTATTAACTAACTAATTAAAAGTAGAGGGGACATTATCACTGTACTGCACATAGTCTAAGGAGGCTGCTGTAATAACCCAGCAGGCCCTCCCACTACACTCTGCCTGCAGAAAACTACAGGAGAGGACGGATACAAGTCAGCCATCCTGCTCAAGTAGAGAAAGCAGCAGTGACTGGTCTGTATTATAGGAAGATCCTTCACAAAGGAAAGTTTCACACTGGATTGCTGCACATATCTAGAAGAAATACAAAAAGCACACCAAGATTCAAGTAATGATACACATGACTAACCTTTTCTTATCCCGGAGTTCAGCTATATGCAAGGTAATAGACATACACAACTGAAATACGTATTTGTGAACTCTGTTACCAGCTGAAAGATTTATAACTCTGTTCAGCCATTCTTTGCTCTATATGTACCTTTCAGACAGCATAATCAGATAGGTGTCCTCTGTTTTTTTTTTTTTATCCTAACCTAAGTAATACAGCTTGGTCACCGATCCCTCTCAGTCAGCTGGACAGTGGAGGAGCTCAGCATACCAGTTAGGTCATAACTCTCAACACTCAGACAACACTGTGCAATATACAAACAAACTGTGCTTAGTACAACAATAGTAACAAACAACAAAGAGTGAACAAGAACAGCAGGGCTCACAGATATTTGAATGCCCCAATACCAAAATAGTCTGCAAAATACGTGTTGCGTTATTCACATACTAAATTGTGATTAAAGTCCAAAATAATCATAAGTAAAAAAGTCCACAATGATTGGCACACTTCTAAATAAAAAAAAAATTCACCATGTTTAGTGCTGAAACTACCACCAGCGAATCTGCTTACCAGATAGTAAGACCCCAAAGAAGGAGAGGTCTTACAAAGCTCTGAACTGGTCCCCAGCAGGATAGATGGTTATCTTCCTTGAATGTACAGGTGATAGCCACGAAGGTTAACTTATCCCACAGCTACTTTAACTGAACCCAGGTAGGATGTATATCTCATCTTCACTTGTAGTGGTAATCACCATCAGCATATATGCACTCTCAAATACATAAAAAGAACAGAAAGGCCCACATAGTATAGTGATCCCTGCTTTGTTTATTAAAACCAAAGACATAAACTCACAAATGTGGATTAGACAGACTGCTTATTCAAACACTGCCACTCGTCCAAGTCGGCATAATGACGTCACCACTTAGCTCCACCCTTATGCATTTTGTCCTACAGAACATCTTCAAATGGAGACACTGTGCAATGCCATGGAGCCTGAATGGCTCACTCTGCTCACCTTTGCTCTCCCAGTACTGTTGTGCAAAGGCTTACAGGAAGCTAACAAAAAGATAGAACAGGTATTAACTGTGTTTAAAAATATGTTACATTTTTAATTAATAATTAAGTGGATTAACTTGTGCAGTTTTTGTCTAGAGTTTTTTTTAAGCCTTTAGCCTGGGAACACTTTACCTTTCCTAATGTGAAGGCCATAATGTAATCATTCTCCTTGTATTCAATAAACTGATTTCTATAGACTTTAACATGATGGCAATTGCTCATAAAGCAGACATATTCGGGCTGATTTAACAAGATATTTTCAACACATTTTTAGTGGCGTGTATGCAATAGAAAGCCTTGCTCCACATTCATGAAAGCCCTGCTCGCTAGCACCAATGTATTCCTAAGTCAGATCACAACAATAGAAAAAAAAAGAATTTGGAGAAAAAAACTGAGAACAGTAGAGGGTACTTTTTGATTTGGGAATACATACTTGAATACATATTTTTTAACCAGAGTTAAGTGTTACAGGACAAGAGACTTGAAGTATGTACTATGTTATTATATAGACAACTGACAGCTGGAGTTCTAATGGATCTTATGGGTAGCAAAAACACTTTCTCCTTTTAAACACTGTCAACATAAGAGGCCCAGTAGTGTTTTTTGTATGCAAATATTAACCTTGAAATGTAAGACACATGTACCCAACATTATTGAAGTTATTTTATTGCCGTTACTGAGCCCATAGCCAAAGGCATTTTCAGCTGTACTGACTGCTAATGTTCTCTGCTTTTTTCAGCTAGGTTTGCATTGAATTTCAGGTTAAACAACATCAATGTTATTTTTTTTTCTTCTTCTTCAAAATGTAACTGTACATGTGGTGAAAAAATAAATGCAGCTACTACAAGTACATGAGCTGAACCTGCTATTAGTCTCCTGTAATCACCTACATAGCAGCACTCAAGAGAAATGGAGGAGTAACACTAGTATTAAATCTGTAGTGCATATGTGATGATAGGAGGAGAGAGCAGAGTGAGCAGATGGGTGAGATGCTGCTGCTTTTTCACTGGTCATTTACAGGCTGGGGGCAGGGAAATGACCTAGCAATGAAAATCGGCCTGTATGTACAGTCTGGCAGGGCTGTTCACATCTCAGAACTGGATAAAAAGAAATTAAAAACTTTTAGCAGGTAAAACAACTCTTATATGTGTAGTTCATATGGTACTTCCTATGTGCATCTGGC